AGGGAAACCCTGTCTGAAAAAGACCAAAAGAATTGCAAAAAAAAAAAAAAAGCAAAAACAAAACAAAAAATGTCAAGAGATACCAAGGAGCACTTCGGCATCCAGAGGCTAAACACAGCTCAGTAGAAATAAAGTGTTTGACAAAACCTAGCATACTCAGGGCTGGAAAGATGGCCCAGTGGTTAAGAGCATTAACTGCTCTTGCAGAGGATGCACGTTTGGTTTCCCAACACCCACATGGCAGCTAACAACCATCCATAACTCCAGTTCCAGGAGATTGCACAACACGAGTGCACTTACACACAGGTAGGCAATACACTCATACACATAAAATAAGTATATTTTTAAAAAACCGAGCATACTTGTACATGCTAAAATTCTCAACAAATGGAACAGAACAGACTTTCCTCAAGCTATAAAGAGCCGCTGCAAAAAAATCCCAGTTAACATCATTTACTAGTAAAACACTGAAGGTCTGGCCTTACAATCAGGAATAAAAGCCAAGTGTTGTGATGCATGCCAGTAATCCCAGTACTACAGAGGCAGGAGGGTCAGAAGTTTAAGGCCAATCACAGCAAGTCAGAGGCCAGTCTAGGTGGTGCACGCCTTTAAACCCAGCACTTGGGAGGCAGAGGCAGGCAGATCTTTGTGAGTTCAAAGCCGGCCTGGTCTACATAGTGAGTTCCAGGCCAGCTGGGGCTACAGGGAGACCCTGTCTCAAAAAGCAAAAACAAACAAACAAAACAAAAAACCCACAACAACAAAAGTCAGGACTAAGACCAGTATGTCTTCCCTCTCCAGTTTTATTCAACCCTGAACTGGAGGTTCGGTTCCAGCCAGGGCAATTAGGCAAGGAATTAATTTTTGTCTGTTGGTTGTAAGCCTGATCCTTTAACGGCTGCACCAGCTCTCCAGCCTGAAGGAATTATTTTTTAAATTAAAATAGGGACTGGACAGATGATTCTGCAGTTAATAGTGTTTGCTGCTTTTGCAGAGGACCAGGATTTGAGTCCCAGCACTCACATGGTGGCTGACAACCACTTGTAACTCTAGTTCTCTTCTGGCTCCCATGCACATGGTGTACATATACACATTCATGCACATACACACACACACACGCACACACACAAACATACAATATTTTTGAGGCTATTTTTAGACAATATAATTTTTATATAGACTATCCTAAGATTATCCAAAAAAGAATTGTCGAAATAATAAATTACTTCAGTGACGTTGATGCATACAGCACCTGAAACTGTACAGATAATGAACTATATCTTAGCTGGGTGTGGTAGCACACACCTGTGATCCCAGCACTCAGGAGGACCACCAGTTTATCTCTATATACAACTGGGATATAATAAAAATAAATGTTTTGTGTCTGTCCCTGGTTCCTGGCTCACAACTTCCTGTAGTTCCAGCTCCAGGGGAACCAGTGCCCTCTTCTGGACTCTTCAGGCATTGCACTCATACAAACATCCACACACAGACACACATAATTTTAAAACAATAAAAATATTTTTTAAAAAGGAACCGGGGTGGCGCACGCCTGTGGTTGAGAGGCAGAGGCAGGCGGATCTCTGTGGGTTCAAGGCCAGCCTGGTCTACATAGTGAGTTCCAGGACAGCTGGGGCCACAGGGAGACCCTGCTTCAAAAAGACCAAAAAAAAAAAAAAAAAAAAAAACAAAAAAAAAAACTGGAGTCATCACACATTGTCATACATTACTGTTGGGAACGGAAAATGGTGCAGCAGTGTAGAAAACAATGGGAAAAGGACAAGCATGGCCACCAAATGGCCCAGTGCTTCAGCCTAGATGTTGAATGCTGCCCCAAAATCTACCCCAGGTGGAGCTATTGGCCCATTTAAGTGAGACCTACTCCAGAGTCCTTCACTAATTGGGGTGTGCCTTTAAAGGGGATTGTGCAGCCCTGGCTCCTTCCTTGTTCCCAGACCCACGAAGTGAAGGAATTTGCTCTACCACATGCTCCCAGAATGGCATGCTGCCTCACCACACGCCTAGAGCAACAGAGTCAACTGATCAGAGACTGGAACCTCCAAACCGTGAGTCGAGTGAACTTTCTTTTTAACGTGATTATCTCAGGTATTATAGTAACAGAACACTAATGCACCCAGCCACTTTCCTTTTATTTTTTACATTTTTATTTAATTCATGTGTCTGTATGTGTGATCTGTGTGTGTAAGCATGTGTAAATGGGGGGGGGGCAATATACCACAGCTTACATGCAGAGGTCAGAGGACAATTTTCATGGTTGATTACCTTCTTTCATTGTAGGTTCCAGGGATTAACTCAGGTCATCAGGCTGGCACAGCTGAGTTATATCAACTACCCCTAATGAGGGCTTTAAAAACTATACATCAACAGAGGGCCAGGAATACAAAAGGTCACAAATGACCAAAACTCAGAATAAGAGTCTGCAGAGTGTGGGTCCTTGGATAGGACTCCTGTATTAAAATCTACCCAACCAGGGCTCAGGGACTATTTCAGAAGAGGGGGTGGAAAGATTGTAAGAGCCAAGGAGGAGGTGCATGATGACCATACGGAAATGGTCCTCCATTCTCCTGAGACTCTTCTCTTAGGAACTTACAGCAATGGTGTCAGTGTGCACAAGACCCATGAAAACTTAAGCAGACAAAAACCCAGCACAGCACTGTGGAAATCAGCAGCAGGCCCCAATCTGAGTCAAAGAATTATTGTCAGCTGATTACTGCTGGGTGAGGAAGAGCTGATCTTCTTAAAGGGAGGTATTCTAGATAGACTGACTAGATTCCAGTTGATGAACTTGCACTGAGGGACCTCTGCGGACACTAACTTTACATGATAGGTCTTAACACAAATGACAGATGGTATAAATTCCAGTGAGGGGGCTATGGGAGGGTGCCAAAGGGGAAGGAAGTATAAAGATGATTTTCTGCCGGGCGTGGTGGTGCACGCCTGTAGTCCCAGCACTCGGGAGGCAGAGGCAGGCGGATTTCTGTGAGTTCAAGGCCAACCTGGTCTACATAGTGAGTTCCAGGAAAGCTGGGGCTACAGGGAGACCCTGCTTCAAAAAGACCAAAAAACAAACAAACAAAAAAAAAGATTTTTTGGTGTGTGTGCTGGATAGCTTTAGTGTCAATTGACACACCTGGGTTGAGGGAGCCTCCATTGGGGAATTTCATCTATTGGACTGGCCTGTGGCCATATCTGAGAGGCATCTTCTTGATGAGTGATGTGGGAGGGCCTAGCCCACTGTGGGTGGTGCCGCCCCTGGGCAGGTGGGCCTATGTTGTATTAAAAAACAGGCTGAGCAGGGGCCAGGGGAGCAAGCCAGTAAGCAGCGTTCCTCCCTGGCCTGTGTTCCAGCTCCTTCTTCCAGGTTCCTGCCCTGAGTTCCTACCTTGGGCTCCCTGATGAACTGCGACCTGGGATTTGTGAGCTGAATAAACCCTTTCCTCCCCAAGTTGGTAGTGGTCAGAGTGTTTTGTCACAGCAATGGAGAAACAAACTAAGAGAGTGTGAAATACACAAAAAGTCAATAAAAAAAAAACAACACTATATACCTAGCTGGACATAGTGGCCCATATCTGTAGTCTCAGCTACTAGGGAAACTGAGGTAGGAAGATCACTTGAGCTCAGGAGTTTAGGGTCAGCCTGAGCAACATAGAAAGGAAGGAAACATGGAGAGAGGAAGGGACGGATGGAGGGAAGGAGGAAAAGCAGGAGGATGTGGTTTATTCATACAATAGATACAGGGTTCCTCTGGGGATGGTGATTCTGTAATCCCAGTTATGATTATTCCATAGTTGATTTCATAGATACTAAGACCATTATTGTATACCTCAGAAAGTAAATATTATGGCATGAAAATTACATCAAATTACACCAATTTCCTTTATAAAACAGAAACCATGGAATGGGGAAATTATTCACGGATCACTTATTTGATAATAAATATTCAAAATATATAAGGCATTCCCATAACTGAAAAACAAGTCAACAGAGGTTATTTTCAGCATGGACTCAGCTGAGGATGTAACTCATAGAGAATTCCCCTAGCACATGTAAAACCCTAGGCTTGATCCTCAATACCGAAGGAAGAAGGCAAAGAACTTGAATAGATAATTTCTCCAAAGGAGATACAAAAGCCAATAATCACATGGAGAAGTGCTTAACGTTAGTGGCTAGGGAAGTGTAAAGCAAAGCCACAATGAAACTCTACATCACACTGTGAGTGTGACTGCTATCATATAAATAACCAGGTTGGCATGAATGTGAGGAAATCAGAACCCAGAGGAATGGAAAATGGGCAGGGTACTAGAGAGATGACCCAGCAATTAACAGTTCTTCCTGCTCTTGCAGAGGATCTGAGTTCAGTTCCCAGCACCCTCCATTGGGTGACTCAAGACCAGCTGTAACTCCAGCACCAAGGAATCTGATACCCTCTTCTGGGCTCCATGGGCACTCACACACATGCAGTGTACACACACAGACACATGAACAGAAAGGATGAGAATGGTACAGCTTCAACTGAAAGCAATTAGTGCAATTCCTTAAAAAATTAAAAAGCCAGGCGTGGTGGCACACACCTTTAATCCCAGTACTTGAGAGGCAGAGGTAGGCAGATCTCTGTGAGATTGAGGCCAGCCTGGTTTCCATATCAAGTTCCAGGTCAGCTGGGGCTACAGGAAGACCCTGTCTCAAAAAGACAAAAAGAAATTAAAAATAGAATTATAGTCTGCAGATATTACTGTTCTCTGGCAGCCATGGTCAATCCTATGATGTTCTTTGACATCACCATTCATTGTAAGCCCTTGCACTGTTTGCAAACAAAATTCCCAAAATGGCAAACAATTTCATGCTCTGAGCACTAGAAAGAAAGAAGTTGGCTCTAAGCCTTTTACAGTATCCCAGGATTCACGTGCCAGGGTGATGTCACACGGCAGAGTGGCACTGGTAAGAAGCTCGTGTGCAGGGAGAAACTGATGGCAAAAACTTCATCCTGAAGCATGCAGGACCATGGCAAATGCTGAATCAAACACAAATGGTCTGTAGGTTTTTGGCCACACTGACAAGTCTGAGTGGCCGGATAGCAAGCACTTGGTCTCTGGAAGGCAAAAGATGCATGAACACCATGGAAGTCCTGTCATTCTGGGTCCAGGAATGGCAGGACAAGCAGGATGCTCACATGGCCAGCCTCGGACAACTCTGATACATGTAACCTGTGTTATCTCAACCACCAGACCAGCCCTTCTGCAGCTCAGGAGAGCATGCCTCCACCCTATCTGCTCTCAGCATCTTGTAACATTTGTGTTCTCACTGCAGGCCAGGGTTCCTGCTTCCCTGTCCTGGTTTGTTTCTCCATTGCTGTGACAAAATACTCTGACCAATACCAACTTGGGGAGGAAAGGGTTTATTAGGCTTATATCTCCCAGGTCACAGTTCATCAGGGAACCCAAGGTAGGAACTCAGGGCAGGAACCTGGAGGCAGGAGCTGGAGCACAGGCCATGGAGGAACGCTGCTTACTGGCTTGCTCCCCTGTCCCTGCTCAGCCTGCTTTCTTACGCAACACAGGCCCACCTGCCCAGGCGTGGCACCACCCACAGTGGTCTGGGCCTTCCCACACCACTCAGTAATGAAGAAGATTCCCCACAGATGTGGCCACAGGCCAGTCCAATGGAGACAATTCCCTAATTGAGGCTCCCTCAACCCAGGTGTGTCAAGTTGACACTGAAGCTATGTACCACATTCCCCTATTTCCCTCCAGTTCTGGCTAGAGTACAGAGTTAGATGATGATCATGAATAAAAACTGATTAACAGCAACAGCAGTGACATAGAAATTCTACTTGTATACTCAAAAGAACAGAAAGCAGGATTTTAGGTTATTTGTTTTTTGTTATTTATTTATTTATTTATTTATTTATTTATTTATTTATTTATTTCTGTTCTCAGTTCTGTTCCTGGGCATTTTATGGTGCTGTCCTGGAACTCACTATATAGACCAGGTTGGCCTTGAACTCACAGAGATCCACCTGCCTCTGCCTCCCGAGTGCTAGGATTAAAGGCATTCGCCACTTAGCCTGGCTAAATTTTATTTTAGGCCAGATGTGGTGGCACATATCTTTAGTTCCAGCACTCAGTAGGCAGAAGTAGGCAGATCACTGTGAGATTGAGACCAGCCTGCTCTACATAATGAGTTCCAGGCCAGCTAGAGCGATACAGAAACCCTGTCTCCAAAAACAAACAAAAAATTTTATTTTTAAAAAATTTTTATGTGTATGAGTGTTTTGCCTGCATGTTTATAAGTGTACAATATGCATGCAATGCCCATGAAAGCCAGAAGAAGGCACTGGATCCCCTGGAACTGGAGTTATAAACAGTTGTTGGCTACCGTGTGGGTGCAGGTTACAGAACCCAGGTCCTCTGCAAGATCAGCCAGGGTTCTTAACCACTGAGTCATTTCTCCAGCCCCAAGACTTGAGATTATTTGCATAGCCATATTTCAAAGCATTATTGCCAGACATGGTGGTGTATTCCTGTAAACCCAGCATTCAGAAGGCTGAGGCAAGAGGATTGCCATAAATTCAAAACCAGCTTGAGCTACATGTCTCAAAAAAAAAAAAACCAGCATGAGGGCTAGAGATACAGCTCAGTTGGTCCAGGGCTTGCATAGCATACACGAGCCTGAGTTTGATTCTCCAGCACCACCTATGATCCCAGCATTGGGAAGTGAAGGCAGGGCAATCAGAGCTGTTCAAGTGCATCCTCAGCTACATAGTGAGTTTGAGGCCAGCGTGGGCTACATGAGACTATCTTTAAAAAAATAACCCCCACATGCACGTAAAATAAACAGCAAAATCCCAAAAGTTGTCCAGCTGGCAATTTGGATCAGTTGGTAAAGGAGTTTGCTGCACAGTCTTGGCAACATGAATTAGATCACCAGAACTCATGTAAAGGTGGATCAAGAGGACTGACTCTATACAGTTGTCCTCTGACCTCTAAACACACACCCAGTGGCATGTGTGACCTCCTCACATCATACTCACACAATAATATAATTTTTAATTTTAAAAAATTTATTATTTTTGGGCCGGGAGTGGTGGTGCACACCTTTAATCCCAGCACTCAGGAGGCAGAGGCAGGAGGATCTCTGTGAGTTCAAGGCCATCCTGATCTACATAGTGGGTTCCAGGACAGCTGGGGCTACAGGGAGACCCTGTCTCAAAAAGACCAAAAAAAATTTTATTATTTTTATTGCCTGCATGTGTACAAGTGCACCTGTGTCGTGCAATGCCAGTGGAGGGCAGAAGGCGGCATTGGATTCCCCTGGAACTGGAGTTACAGAGGGTTGTTAGCTACCATGGGGTGTTGAGAATGGAACCTAGGTCCTCTGCAAGAGCAGTCAGTGCTCTTACTGCTGAACCAGCTCTCCAGTCCCAATAATAATATAATCTAAAAATCATTAAAATGGGTGCTGAGATGGCTCGGTGGCTAAGAACGGCTTTTGCAGAGGATTCAAGTTCAGTTCCCAGAACCCACATCAGGCAGCTCACACCACCTGTAACTCCAGCTCCAAGACACCCAAAACCCTTTTCTGGTTTCCAGGGGCACCTGCACTCACACAAACATACCCCTCGATACACATACATGTACATATACACAATTTGGAAATTAAAAAAATAAATAAAATGGCAAGTTTGGTATGCATTTTACACACCCCTGCACATACACACACTGGAGATGAAAAAAATCATAACAACACACCCTGGACCAGAACAAATTTTCATATAGGGCATTACTGGGATATATGGCACAACTGAAATAGTGGTTGTAAATTAGGTAACTAAATTAATATTAAAATTTTCCATGATTCTGACAATTATGCTATGGATATGTAAGAGAACCTTCCTTTTAGGATATACTAAAAATTGTATGTCAGGACTGGAGTAATGGGTCAGTGGTTAAGAGCACTTACTGCTCTTCCAGAGGACCTGAGTTTACTTCCCAGCACCCATATCAGGCAGCTCCTAGGAATTCAATGCCCTCTTCTGGCCTCTGTGGGCACCTGTACTCACATGGCATAGACACACATGTACGCATAAATAAAAATATAAATAAATCTTAAAAATATAAATAAAATATGTGTAGTGATAAAGGGCATGGTATCTGCAGTTTACTCCATGTACGCATAAATAAAAATATAAATAAATCTTAAAAATATAAATAAAATATGTGTAGTGATAAAGGGCATGGTATATGCAGTTTACTCTCAAGTGTTGGGGGTATAAATATATTTACACATGGAAAGAGTGACAGTCCAGTGTTAACTGGAGAATATAGATTAAGAAACAGGAAGGATTTTCTGAGTAATTCTTATAACGTTATCATATGTTTGAGATTATTTAAAAATAAAAGTTTACAGGGCTGGAGAAATAGCTCAGCAGTTAAGAGCACCTGCTGCTCTTGCAGAGGACCCAGGTTCAGTTCCAGCATCCACATGGTGGTTCATAACCCATCTGTAACTCCAGTTCCATGGGATCTGACGGCAGCCTTCTGGCCTCCAAGAGCACTGCATGAGGGAGGTGCACATGCAGGCTAAGCATTCATACACATAAAAAATGTTTAAATCATAAAAAACAAGTTTTCAAAAATTAATAAATCCAAGACAAAACTGATCTCTCCCAAACCCGCTCCACCCACATCCACTATGCCCATATTAGAAAGTGACATCTCTTTCTGGGTGCTCTCACCAAAATCCTTGGAGCCGGGGCTTGCAGGATGGCCTAGTGGGTAAAGGTGCTTGTTGTCAAGTCCGACAATCTGATTCTGAGACCTAGAACCACAAAAGGTGGGAGACGAGAAATGACTTCCCTTGAGTTGTCCTCTGCCACAGAGCCCCCTCTTCACAAATAAATGTATTTACTTATTATGTGTGTATGTATGTATTTAGAGACAGAGTCCCACTCTGTAGCTTATTATTTATTTATTTTAGAGACAAGAGTCCCACTCTGTAGCTCAGACTGACCCGGAACGCACCCTGTATCCTAAGCTGACAATCCTACAGCCCCAGCCTCCTAAGCGCTGGGACTACAGGCGTGGGCCCCCATCCCTGGCTGGTCTCCTCTAGTAGCTCCTCACTGGTGCCCAGTGTCGGCCTTGCCCCTGCCTCTCTGGCCTTTCAACCCTTCTGCTCAGAGCTGCCATGTCTTGGCTGGCTTTTGGGGTTTCTCAGCCTCCCCTCCAGGGCTCCCCGAAGATCACCGCCTCCAGCGCTTCCTGGGCGGAGGCTGCCCTGCATCAGTAACCCATCGCAGGCCCCGCAGCTTTGTAACTGGCCAATTCGCTAGGGAACGTCTGATGGACGGTCCTCTGCGACACGCCTCTTCTATGGAAAAAGGCCATACTTGGCCTGGTGTGGGAGCCGGTCTTCCCACCGACGCGCGGAGCAGCGGGGAAGATGGGATGAGAACCGGGGACCTCTCACCCGGCTTCCACGCCCCACACGCAGGCAACGGTGACGAAGAGCCGGTCCAGGGGCTCCCGGCCTTCCTGACCTGCAAGCGGAGGCCAAATAAGGCCGGGCAGGTCGCCTGGCCCCGCCCTCGCCCCCCGCCCCTCCACGCTCACATTCTTCTGCCTTGTAAGGCAGCGCAGCCTCACGGTGCGGACCCCGCCCCCGGCGCGCGGAGCTGAGGCCAGAGCCTCCCAAGCAGCGGGCTCCAGGCACCCGCCAGCGCCGTCTTCGCACCAGGTGGAAGCCCTCGCCCGGGCTAGTGCGTCTACAGCAGGTGGTATGGCCGAGCCCACCCGGCCGTCTGGGGGCTGCGGACCGGGATGTCCGGCGGCTGCCGGAATGCATAGCGGTGTGGGCTGGGGTCGGACAGGCACTGAGCTCTGTAAAACTGGTCCTTGGGCAAGGGAAAACAGTCTGCCTGGGTGCGGAGATGCCAGGAGGGGTCTGCCACGACTCCTGGACCCAGTAGACTTATGTGTGTCACAGGAGGAAACAGCCCTGCTATGTTCCATTCACTTCCAGAGCACAGGTTTCGCTGACCCTGGAGCAGGAGAGAGGGATGGTAACTATCTCCACAACACCCCGAAGACTATGTGCCTTGAACTCACTCCAGGCTTTCCCTCTCTGGGCCATTTGCTCAGGTGTGTCTGGGTAGGGGGCTCCTAACAAGCACCCTACCGGACTTCTCTCCTAGGGGCCCAGACAAGGATGGGGAGGTGTTGGTCCTTCACAGCCCTTCTGATCGTCTGCTCTCAGGGACAGGGAGTGACTCTGTCTCTGATGAGCTGGTTTAAGAGCAGAACATCTGACACTGCCCAGCTATGGGGACTAGTATGGGTAAGGGGCACAGGCCTGGTCTGGCTTCTGCCCAGGTAGATGTCTAGTTATGACCAAGTCAAGTTCCAGCTGTCTGAACCCCAGGAAAGGGAAGAATATGGCTCCAGAGGTAAGGGCCTAGTTTGTCCCTGTCCCCAGTCACTCAGCCAAGCCTAGGAACTGCCTAACCACAGCTTTTGGGCCCCTCAGCCGCCAGAATGCCACCTTGTGCCTCTTAGCACAAATGTTTTCTTTGCTAAAGCTTCAAGGACACCAAGGTGTCCTGGCTTCAACTCGCTTCTGACTCTCTCATAGGCATGCACTTCCCTTCTTGGGGGCCAGTGCTTCCCAAGATTGCAGGGATGGACAGGACAGCCTTGTATAGCCCCAAATACATGGCAGGAGAGGGCAGGAATGTGGCGGTTGTGACCACCGAGGGCCCACAGTGCCTGCTGGGGGATCCTGGCCATACCTACTCTGGGTCTGCAGACAAGAGGGGCCGGGAATAGTGGTGACTGTCATGGCCTCTGCTGGGTCCAGTGGACTCCTCTGTGCATGCCAGGAGTCCAAGTTCCCAGATGACACTGGGCTGGGGAAGGATTGGGCTCTAAGTCACAGGAGAGGAAGGGAACAACATTCCTGCTTTCAGTCCTACCAACTTCCATCCAGGTTGTGGGTGAGAAGGGTTTCTGTCAATTTATCCAGCACCGCAAGAAACACCAAGGCCTGGTGAGTAGTATGGAGGCCCAATGGGCCTTACATAGCTATAGTCTCAAAACTACAGGCAGATGCGGCCCCTAGGGACATGCTAGAGCTAGAGTGACTTGAACAGGGTCATGAGACAGAGGACTGAAAGTGGCTTGGGGTGCACTGCAGGGAAGTGCAAAAGAGGTCTTGAAGAGGCTCTGGACCGAGTGGCAAAGGGCACAGGAAAGAAGGGGCAGCCACATTAGGACCTTGGTCACTTGAAGGGAAGGAGACACTAGGTCTTGAGATGCATTGTCCCTATAAGCTATGATGGGTTCAGGGAGAGTTCTTTCCCATCTACAGTGAAGCTCACAGCCTTTCCATTAAACAGCAGGCATCTACTAGCTTGCTGCTATGGGCTGCCTTAGTGGTAAGATGAGGGAGACGGTCTGCAGGTGTTGGCTATCAAGGCAAGGATGGGAGAACAGCATGCTGAGGACCCCAGAACTGGGTTGCAGTAGGATATGCTGTGGAAGAGGGTCTGGAAGGAAGGCCTGGGAGTGGCTATGGAACACCAGAGATCATCATGGAAGGATGCCCTCTGTCATCAACAGGGTCACAGTGAGGAGGGCCAGGCTCAGAGGGGCTGGGGGAACTCACTGGGGCCTTGAATGTCAGGCTGGAACCCAGATTTTCTCTGGGGGGAGCAGCAGGAAACTTTGAGGGCTTCAAAGTGATAAGTGCAAGTCTCCCTTTGATGGGATGGGAAAAGCTGACTGGAAGTCAAAAGGTCAGATCTAGGTGGACCTGAGGGCTCAGCCTAGGGAGCCTCACTGCCCAAGAAGTGATGAAGGGCCCAGGATGGAGCTACCACCCACCTGGGGCTAGTCAGGTTCCCTGAGGAGGGCAGCTGGGGTTCACAGCCCAGAGCCTGGGGTAGGATGGAGGGTAGTAGATGGGGTAACAGAGGGCTGGGGGAGGACTGGATCAGGACAAGAGAATGTCAGGAATGCAGTGCTGCTGCTTAGCCCCCTCCTCTCATCCCAGCAGAACCCCCCTTGTCACTCAGAGATAGTCAGGAAGTATATGGCGCACCTTAATTCTTGGCACCAAGCCAATCCTAATGGTTCACCCAGACATAGCGAAATTAGTTTATTCTATGCCCAGTACCACTCCAGGAGCTCTCCGGCCACTAAGTTAAGTCATCCTTGCTACAGGACACCCTGTCCTCCTGTTCCCAGACCAGGCAAAATCGAGGAACTTACTCAGAAGGATCATAGCTCACAGGCATTTCTTGTAAAGAACTGGATGGCTGGAGGCCCAAGCCTGTGGGAGACCTTGAATGCCAAGGCTAGAACTGAAAGCCATCAGGGGGAGGCAGGACAATTTTAGGCCTCTGGTCATTGTCCCACACTCCTTTCTGCAGGAAAGCCCTGCCCACCCAAAGCCAAAATGTCCAGCAAGCGGGCCAAGGCCAAGACCACCAAGAAGCGGCCCCAGCGGGCTACGTCCAATGTCTTCACCATGTTTGACCAGTCCCAGATCCAGGAGTTTAAGGAGGCCTTCAATATGATCGACCAGAACCGTGATGGCTTCATTGACAAGGAAGATTTGCATGACATGTTGGCCTCTCTTGGTGAGCAAGATAGGCCGGACAGGGAACTACGTGGGGGAAGTGTAGAGGCTGCTCGGCATTTACAGGGCACTTCCTGTGAAATGAGACATGTAGTACCACCCTATAGAGTGCTCTAACTATGTCCACTTAACAGAGAGGCATGGGACAGGTCCAGCACAGGATTTGAGCCTAGACAGACTGACTCCCCAGTGGGACTTTCTCAGGCAGATCTGTGTATCGGGCTGTCTGGTAGCATGCTAAGGAAAGGGGCCAGCAGCTACATAAAATTTTGTACAAATGGGGAAATTGAGACCCAGAGGGGAGGCCAGAGCATTCCCCTCTGCCCCCAGTGACATCCCCCAAACCAGGGTCTTAGGGCCAAAAGGGCTCAGGACTCAAGTCCAAGTTGCCATTGCTCAGATGGGGAAACTGAGGCCCAGAAGGAAAGCCTTCAGGGTGCATTCTTGTCTGTGTGCTGACCACAGACAGCTGCCCTTAGCTCCAGTTCCTGGTATAGCTTTCAATGGGGCAAGAACCCAGGATCAGATATGAGCCGGGAAGGAAGGATCTAACATTGGGGGCCAGCCATGTGAGAGTTAAGCTATGCCATTGGGTCAGACACCCCAGTTAGTCCCTGGAACTGCCCTTTGCCCGCTGGCCTGTGTATCACACCCTCATATGTTCAAGTCTGGTGAGAGACCAGCAGCCCAGAGTGGGAAGGAAGGTGCCCACCCCCTCCAGCTGTAGGCTAGAAGGGGAGGACTGTGTCCAGGGGAGGAGGGCTTGCCTTGTGTGCCACACTGGGGTCTTCCTGGGATCATAGCTCTTCTGGGGTTTCTACTTATCCAGCCATCCCATAAGGACACAGCAAGGGGCACGAGGCTGAGGGACAGGGACATGAAGGATTCACCCATTTGTCAGGCAGCACTCTGCATTTAGGGCTCCAAACCCCTGAGACTTGGTGGCACTAAACAGCTACCTAGAGAAGCACTTGTGTATGATAGGTTCACAGATCAGACAAGCCTTCTGCTTAAAGAGCACTGTCAGGCTGGAGAGATGACCCAGCGGTTAAGAGCACTGGCTACTTTTGCAGAGGACCCAGGTTTGGTTCCTAGTACCCACATAGAAGCTAAGAATGGTCCATAACTCCAGTTCCAAGGGATCTGACACCCTCTCCTGGCCTCTGGACACTGCTTACATGGGTACACTTGCACACATACAGGCAAAATACTCATACATATAAAAATAAATTTAAAAAACACATTGTCAGCCAGGTGTGGTGGCACACACCTTCAATCCCAACACTTGGTAAGCAGAGGCAGGCAGATCTCTGTAAGTTCAAGGCCAGTCTGGTCTACATAGTGAGTTCCAGGCCAGCTGGGGCTACAGGGAGACCTTGTCTCAAAAAGATGACAAAAAATCTTAAGCCTGGGGCCTGGAGAGACAGGTCAGTGGTTAAGAGCACTGGCTGCTTTGGCAGAGGACCTGGGTTTGGGTCTCAGCAACCACATGATGGCTAACAACTGTCCATAACTCCAGTTCCAGGGAATCTGACACCCTCTTCTGACTTCCATGAGCATTGCACAACATGGGTGCACTTACATACATGTAGGCAGTACACTCATACACATAAAACAAAAGTAATAAATAAAATATTTTTAAAAGTCACAGCCAGGGCTGGCAAGATGGCTCAGCAGTTAAGAGCACTGGCAAAGGACCCAGGTTTGGTTCCCAGCATCCATATGGTATCCAGTAACTACAGTTCTAGTGAATTTGACTCCCTCTTCTGGCATCTGTAGGTACTACACAACATGGGTGCACTTACATACATGCAGACCTAAAACTCATATACATAAATAAATAATAAATAAATAAAATAAGCCACAAGCCAATGGGAGGCGCTGTGCAGCATACTCAGAGGACAGCCGAGGGACAAGAATTCTGGCTTTGTCCTCATGACATTTGGCAGCATTCACAAGCTTTTTATTTTATGAATAAATTCACTGAAATGGAATACGCTTTGCCAAAATTTAAACACATTTCCTCAGGCTTGTAGCACTTTTAACCCATTGGGCCATCTCTCTCACCCTCCTTTTAAAAAAACATTCATTTATGTATGTATTTACTTGGCGTATGTATGTGAGCATGTACTTGCCATGGCATGTGTATGGAGGTTAGAGGACAATTTGTGGGAGTCAGTTCTCTCCTTTCACCGTGTGAATCCCCAAGACCAAACTCAGGTCACAAGACTTGGTGGCAAGTAACTTTACCTACTGAGCTATCTTGCTGGCCTTCAAAGAAACTTTTATTCTACAAAGAGTATAAAATAAATGAACAGATAATACAGAATTATCTGTCCTATGCAAATACCTTAGCTGATTAACAAAATAGACACAGGGACTGGTGGTGTAGCTCAGTTGGGAGAGTGCTTTCGTAGCATGCATAAAGCCCTGAGTCTGATCCCTAACTATCCATAAACCAGGTGTGGTGGCACATGCCTGTAATCCCAGCTCTGGAGAGGTAGAGACTGGTGAATTGGAAGTTCAAGGTCATTCTTAGCTACCTAGTGAGTTTGAAGTCAGTGTGGACTATATAAGACCCTGCCTCAAAAAAAGAGAGAAACGGGAAGAGAGGTAAGCATTTTGAACTGGGAGGGAACAAAAAGAAAAAGGACCGAATAATCCAGTTCTAAATTGCATCTTTTGTGTTTGTTTGTGGGTTTGTTGTTTTTTCCTGAGACAGGGTCCCAAATACTGTATATTAACATATGTTCACCCTGACTGGTATTGAGAAAAAAGTGCAAATAATAAAACTATAAGCCACTTTATACCCATCACATAGCCAAAAATGAGAGCAAGAGGTAATATCAAACACTGGTAAAGATGGAGGGAAGAGAATCCGCGTGCATTAGATGATAGAAAGACTGAACAGCAACCAGGCATGAGTGCAATTCAGCAACTACACCCCCGATCCCCGGCCCAGAGGAACCACAGGCCAGGAAGGCCTGACAGCACTTCATGAGGAAGAAGCACGTGCAGTAGCAGAAATCTGGAACACTCCATGCATAGAAGAGGACAGATGTCAACAGCACTGGGGGTGGGGGCAATGAGAGCTATGGTCCAGTAACATCATGAAAGCTGTGTGACATTTGATGCCATGGAGATGGGGATAGGGATAGGACAGAAAAGGAAATTAAGGGGGCATGGAAAGGAAAAGAAGTCCCTTGCTCTGGAGTCTGGTTGAAATTTCTCACCAGCTGAGAGTCAAAAATTCCAGCGCAATTAACAAAATCTGCTACGAAGACTGCCTACACAGAGCCAATTTTCTTTTTTTTTAATGCTTGTTGGCTTTCTTTTTGGATATTTGTTTGTTTACTTATTTATTTGTACAGGTGCCTGTGGAGACCAGAAAGTGTCCAATATCCCTGGAACTGGAGTTACATACAGGTAGTTGTGAGCTGCCTGATGTGGGTGCTGGGAACCGAATTCAGGGCCTTTGCAAGAGCAGCAAACACTCTTAACCTTTAAGCCATCTTTACAACCTCCAATATTATTTTTTATATAGAGCTGTTTCAAATAATAATGTTAAAATTAGAGTATGGTGTGGTGGCACATGCCTATAATCTCAGCACTGAGGCAGAGGCAGGAGAATTACTCAAAGTTCAAGGCCAGCTTGGTCTACATGTGAGTTCCAGGCTAGCTAGGGGCTATGCAATGAGACCCTGTCAAAAACAAACAAACAAAAAAGTAAAATAGCAAAATAGAAAAAACAAAACAGAAAACCAAACATGTTTATGACCCAAAAGTTTATGACCTTTGAGTTTAACCTTACTATTTTCCCAGGTATAAACCTGTAATTTTCTAAGAACCCTTCAAACAATATTATGAATTTGCCTATAGTCAAAACATGCCATAGCTCCCTTGTGACCCAGCACAGTAAGAATTCCTTCACCCTTTGACTTATGGTTTTATTTCATCATCTTGTAATCCTGTCTAGTGCCTCTCGGGAAATATCCAAGGATCTCCTTTGATAAAAAAAAGTTCATTAGAAACCTTTTAAACAAAACTTCAGAAGCCACCAAAATGGTATGCATGGTTATTATAAGCGTGCCTCCTGAGAAGTGCACACCCATACTGAGATATGGGCTGTCCTTTTCTTAAGCACCCCAGCTCGTTCTGACTCTCTCTCTCCCTCCCTTCCCCTTAACGTTATACTTAAACCTAAGTTAAAATCTTTTCTTAAGGGCTGGAGAAATGGCTCAGCGGTTAAGAGCATTAGCTGCTCTTGCAGAGGACCTGGGTTCTGTTCCCAGCACCTACATGGCAGCTAACAACTGTCTGTAACTCCAGTTCCAGGGGAGGTAGAGACAGATGGATCTCTGTGAAATTGAAGCCAGTTTGGTCTACATAGCAAGTTCTAGGCCAGCGGGAGCTACAGGGAGACCTTGTCTCAAGAAGAAAAGTTCAAAAAGCCAGGTGTGGTGGCGCACACCTTTAATCCCAACACTCAAGGCAGAGGCAGGCGGATCTCTGTGAGTTTGAGGCCAGTCTGGTCTACATAGTGAGTTCCAGGACAGCTGGGGGTACAGGGAGACCCTGTCTCAAAAAGACCAAAAAAAAAAAAAAAAAAAGGATATTGCTACACATTGCCACTAGGGATCACCCAAGGTCACTGAGTAAATGGGACCACTGTCAAAGAATTTCTAGTCCAGTTGGCCTCCCAAATACCAGTTGTCCCTTCAGGACTTGTAAGTCTCTCTAGTTCTAAAAGGCTAGGACACTGTCCTAAGGCCCCAGTGGCCCAGGCCCAGGGAGTCCTCAAAAACCCAAGTAAAGGAATTTTTCAGCCTGGGTACCCAATGGTATCTTCTCTTCCATCCACGGTATGAGATAAAGTGGTGGGAAAACTGCAGCTTTTTTTTTTTTTTTAGGTTTGAAGCTTATTTTATTAGAGTTTAAAAGAAAAAACCCCCAGGGCTGACAAGCTGTAAATCTCTACAGCTGCCCGGAAGAGGAGAATGAAGGCGAAATGGAAAAAAGCCATGCAGTTTAAACCACCATGGGGGTCAGACATGGTGGACTGGCAGCTACATGATGGGAGGGGAGCTTTAGGAAAAGAGTAAGGGAGCCCACAATGTTGAGGAAGCCCAAAGTGTTACGGAAAGCATGCTTAGA